TCGGTTAACTTATAAAAGGCACTACTGAAAACGTTATCGAAGCTTTAAGCTCGCTAAAGTGCCGCAAATCACATTACATTGATGTGTTCGTCGTTGAGAACTAAAACGTGGCGTGAAATGGCCAGTTAGTGAGTAATATCATGTTATTTGGAGACGCGGGCGCAAACGGTCGTGACGCTCGGTTCCCACTGCCTGAGCTCGGTCACGAATCGCTCTGCTGACCCTACCTCTGCTTTCCTTCTTAACTTGCAATACCCGTTCTATATCTACACCTATCTTATTTAATGTTATGCTCGCTATTCTTAGAAATTAAAAGTTCAAAGTTTTATCGTCCTACCTATTAAACCTTAAAAGCGTATACAACTCCCAACACGATGATAAAATAAATTCAATAGATTTGATTAGAATTTAATTTTCATATAAATAGTAATACATGTAAAAAACTTGTAGTATTTGTATGATGTTTATCATCTAGTCCTTGTAATGGCTGTCGAATACGTTAGTAAGGCGTTGGACATCTTAATATCAGATATTAATGTACATTATAAATTTAACGGTACGTGAATAGATTAGATGAAACTTCGTTGCAAACTTAACTAGGCACATTATTATAATGCTTGGTTATGCGAATGCAATTTTATTAACGTTTTAGTGAAGGTGGTAATACTAGCCTGGGAAACTACGAAATATAATGAACAAGCATCTAATTTATATTCGCACTTGTATTAAATAATTGACAAGTCTTGCCTTATTTTGAAATTTGTTATTGCAGTTTTATCTGAGGTCAGTATAATATAATTTTTTATGTACCATAAGTATGAATATCATTTATAATAAGTTTTTTCTTCAAAATTCAATGTCATTAATTTAAGGATATTCGCGTTGTGTTGTATATATTATGAACTAGCTGTGATCTGCGTTTCTACCCTGTCTTTCCTCGGTAAACAGACTATTGAACGTAAGAAGAATTTATTTTTTGTTAGACATGCAATTACTAACTTTTTTGTAGATATTGTCTTCTATAAAACTCTAGTACATCACTTTGCTCTATTGTCAATAGTTTCCGCAGCGTACGCGATATAGGAATTGCTCTTTTTCTCACCATTACACTATCGTAATTTCATACAGAACCCTAACTTTTTTGAAAATATTGCATAGCCTATCTTCATCAGGGATAACGTAGGGTCCTACTGGTAAAAGAGTTTTTAAAATCAGTTCTGTAGTTTTGGAGCCTATCCAATGCACACAGACAAACAAGTAATCAAATCTTTCCACTTTATAATATTAGTGAGATAAGGAACATTTTACGCTTACGCTTGATCATGAACAGAATTATCAACATTCGATCTCATATTTTCTCTCTTAGCTTCTCTGCTCGTCGTTTAAATTTAATTAGCTAGAATCAGATGGTTAAAGTCAACATTAATTAGTTGGGTTAGGTCGCTTTGTAGAATTAGCAATAGGATACTGAGAATTTGTGAAATGTTGTACAGAAAAGTCTTTGCTATTTAGTAATCTTTATTGAAGTCTTGTAATATCTATCTGTTCGAACTTGAAATAATCAATAATATGAGTAGGAGTCGATCCCTGGGCGTCAACGTTTATCACGTTTGATAGAAGTGACTATCTTATCCATTAAAGTAATGATATATCATATCTACGGTTTAGTAATGTGACACGAGAATTATAAGGAGGAAACTTTCTTCGCGATTCCGACTTGAATAGTGAGTTTTTGTAAGATAATTCTTCCTATTTTTAATTTTTAAATGTGTGCCCTTGTGTCGTGTGGTAAATACATTATAAATCTATGACACATAATAATTATTGTGTTATGACCGTGAAAACAATTATGTACGATTTTTGTTGACATCACGGCTCACGCACATGCAACTATCACCTTTAGTTATGGCTGTAAAAAGGTGTTTAAGAAACGTTTAGAAGTTAAATAACTAAAAATTAATTTTCGGTGATAAAGTTATATAAGAAAGGTCGAAAAATACACCAGACTGTACAAAGTACATAAATATTCGAACACTAATAGAAAAATATGTGTCTGGCCCATATGAACCTCAAACTTTTCATAGTCACCTTAAATGAGTAAGGTTTAAACTGTGCTTTTTATATATGTCAAAAACACTCTCCTGATCCCATCCCCTTCAAAATAAAAGGCGACGAATGAATGAAACGTGGTAAATCGAACTTCATATAATATAATAGATATTGTCAAATTTAGTAATCGTACGTAGACAAGGGTTTATAAGTTAAAATTAAAATCCATTTTTACCGTTTTTCTTGTGAGGTTGTAAAGTATTCCCATTATTGCGAATGTATGATTTATGACTGCGTGTGTTAATCAAACATCAATCATACAATTGTAAATATACTAGCAATATTGTAGTTATACAAATCTTTAAAGACATAAAAAATTATAAGAATTCCAAATACAACCTTGTCAACTGGACGTTAATGAGTTTTATCTAATAAAATAATACAGACGCAATACGCATATGTCTAAATCTCTGAACGAAACCTTTATAATTAGGCAATATTAGCTTTCAAAATCCCTAGGAAAACAATGTTAATATTATTTTTAGTTTTTGTAAGATTGCAAATGGCGGAAAATCTACACGTCACCGCGCATGCGCAATGTTTCTTATTCATGAATAGCATGGCATGACCATTCCATTCCCTGATGTCCTTAGATAATCGACACTATGTTATGGTAATGTTATTGTTATTGTATAACTTTATTGTGTATATATAGGAATTCTGTTTTTATATTTCAGTATTGGAAATGTGGCAACTTATATTGCAATTCATAATTCGATTTTTAAAATTAATTTGTTTTAAAGTTTGATCATGGCTACTAAATGACGTATAAATTAAAAAAAAAACAACGTAATGTCAAACAGATGTACCATAAACAAAGAGTGAATGTCCCGTAAATTAAATGCGCTTTGAAGCTAAAGTAACCGTGAGAGACTATTACAAGTCGACGCCCGAAGTGCATTTGTGTCTATATTTTACATTATCGTGTAATAATTCAGAAATGTTATAATAAATACTTGTACGTAATAACAAATTGTTATCAATCTTGGAACATTAAAAACGAATTTCCATAATAATATTATAATTACATAGACAATTTAAGTGTTGTACGTATGTGTTAGGTTAGTAAGTTGTACGATTATTATGAAGTCCACTTACAGTTACTGACATAGTTATGAGTAGGACATGTTTTTTTAGACATTTTAAGATTATTTGAGAATTAATAGGAGTCTCACCACTTTCCTTCTTGCTCTCTAATTTTTTGTTACTTTACTCAATTTTCAATAACTGCCTAGTATATCAGTAGGAAATGTTTTTTAGGCATTTTAATACGATGTTCTCCTATTTGGGCAAGGATTCAAATAATGTAGATTCATGTACAAAACATTACTCATGTATTTGTGCTTCGATGACGTCCATTTTCCTTCTTGTTTGCGTCACTCTTTTAAAATTTACTTTAAGTTTCGTATTACTCAATTTTCAATCAAAACATTTCTTACCTGATAAAGTTGATAATGAGTCTATCCATCGCAAACACATGTATGAGTGCGGTGTTAGTGATAAAACTGTTTTAACCTTAGAAAAAAACAGGACCATATTTTTTTAAAAAAAAAAAAAAATTTTAAAAAAAATTTTTTTTTTTTTTTCCCCAAAAAGGCCAATTTCATATGTAAACAAATATTTCTTAGAGAACCATACTTGATTCTATAGAATCGGACCATCGTAAAAATTAAATGTGTTTATTATGTGTTTGATTAAACGCAGAATATGAATAGAAATGACTCAAGCAGGCGCAGTTGTTATAGCTTTAAGTTAAATTAGAAACCATTTAATTTATGGATAAAAAAATTATGATATAAAAGTATATTTTAAATCCTTTCTTTCCTAAGCTTATTTAGTGTACGGTGGCCTTAAGTGTACAGTCCACTAGAGCACGCCTCGGTAAGTTTATTACCTATTCAACCCTATCACTAAATTATCACGAAGATCATGTTCCTAAATTGTTTTCGCCTGTTCTTTAGAAGTTTAGAAAGGCTACAATCGATCTAATATAATATGTATAGACAAGATTCCTTTTTATATAACACTTATAAAGAGGACACTCGTAAAGGTTTCGAGTAATTGTAGATTATACAAATTATAAAACCTTAGGCCCACATCGAGTTAACAGTATCAATTTTGATGTGAAAAACACGGCCTTTTTGAACTTAAATAGTTTTTGAACCAACGCGTAACTTTTCTTTAATATTAGTGTCGTACATAAAAAAACCATTTTTCCCAAAAATTTGATATATTTACTTGATAAGTTGAAACAAAGCTTTATTCTACGTATAAAAGAAAATGTTATTAATTTTAAGTTAGGAATTAATTTGAATAAAACCTCAAAGCAAGGCCATTCTCTTTCCTAAATGACCGCCCGGGTGGGTAAGTATGCTAATGATCAAAAGAAGTGCAATAAATAAGACATCGCTGTATAATTTCGGAAACAAAATTGCATGTCATTCGAAGGCGTGGTGGTCATGCGTAATTATAATTTCGTGATTTATATTAACTTTTTCCGTAAACCCTTTAATGTCGTAAATTGGTTCAGATTGCAATTGCGGTTGGTGTTCCAACCAACCGTGTCCGTTACATATTATACGAATCGTTAACATTCATCGAATAAACGAAAACTACCAACTATTGCGTATTTTGATTACCTTGAAAGAAGATTCAAGAAATCTGATATTTGGCTCTTCACTTAATCGTAAAATTTTTAGTCAATCATACTTTTTTTAAGTGAAGTGCGAAGCGAAGTGAACACATCAGGGCAACTGAAATGGAAATGGGCAGGCCATATTGCAAGATGTATAGATAAAAGATGAATCGCCGCTGAAGGGGACCTCCAAGAAAAAGAAACGTGGGAAGACCATAAAGGCGATAGACGACATTATAAAGGTTTCAGGGGTGAAATGGATGGTGGAAGCAAAGAACCAAATGAAAGTTCAGGTGGAGGTCTTTATCCAAAACGGGACCATACTGCAGAACGCGAAGTAATGGAAATAACAATAACTAACGTAGACTAAGAGTATAATAACAAAACTACGCAAAACCCATTTGATTTGTTATTTTTATAGTATGGAATTAAAGTGGTTATTATTATTAACCCCCTCCAAAGCTAATCGTTTCTTATTTCATTGATTAAGTGTTCAGCCCCAAACGTCCCGGTTTCGCTGGGAATCGAATCTAGGACCTCCGTACGGTTGTTCTAGTCAACCATAACGTTAGTGATAATTTTTATATCAAGTAATTTTGTAGAAAGCCCTCTGTTTTCAAGGGGCGTACATGGCAGCTTATAATGCATTTTTGCAATATTACGCAAGGATGCCCGGAGAACTGGTCCGACCGGCTTCAGATCTGGGCCAGAGCCATCTCTGCTAAGATATTACCTACTAATAGATATTAAGCTAGACTCACTACCGCTTCGCCGACGTGCAACGTGTTCAATTTGCTTTTATATTGATTACAGCCGGCATTATCTAGAATATTTGCAATTCATTCTAAGATCTACAATTACCTTACAAAATTACGTATATGTGTGGTGGAGTCCGCCATACAAATAGTTTCTAGGATTTTCATTGAATCATTCATAAAAACATGCCAAAAGGATTCAAGCGGTGATTTTGGCAAGAGGAGGTCACACTCGTTATTAGGTTTATATACATTTGTCACCTTATTTAATTAAACATTTAAAAAAAATCTTGTGTTTATTGCCGACCACTTCTTAATGTTAGGTCGTGTGCATAGGTTTTAAAGAATTCTTAAAAAAATAACTTTTGTTTTTTTTAATTTCTTTATTTTACAAAATAATATAATACAATCATAATATTTGTTACAATAGAAAACCGCTGTGGTTTGTATTAATGTAACCATAGCAGTGTTAATAAAAAAATATTAAAAAAATAAAAATTTCCAATTCACTTAACGCGTATTAATAATTTACACGGATATATAAGTATACAGACTATGTTAGACAATTAAATTTAATTTAATTAACTGAAATCGACCGTTAGATAAATTTCCTTAGGTGCTTGATTATTTTTTGCAAAAGAGTTCAGTTTACGACGATTACCTGTGTAAATCAGTCTTGGATTATTTTTCACAAATAGGTGGGTTTTTTTGACCCAATTACTTTATGCTTAACACAGTCTACTAGTTGATTATAATCAATTATGACAAAAGATCAAGTCGTAAACCGTTGAGCTTAACTGAAATAATTCAAAATCCATTTAATATTGTTACAATATTGTAAATATGTAATTACAGGCTCATATTTCAATTTCAAAACTATCTATTGATATCATTTCATTGTATTAAAATTGCTCTACTCTTGGAATTGAAATCGTGAAATAAACCTTCCAAATAGATTGAATTCGGTTTGATCGGTGATCGATTGCGGGTCCGATCGCCACTGCCTACTGTATTGAGAAATCTATTGTTTTTATGTGAATATTTTTAAGAAAGCCTTCAAAACGCAATCATTTTTAAAAGGAGGTTATCGTTTATCTATCTTAGAAATCGTTCTTAATTTGAATTTCACCTTCCGGTTTTGGATTAGGTTTTTAGGCAGACCATCTTTGTAAACAAGTTATATTTTTTAAATAATGTAATCGACTGTTAATAGTAGTTTCTTGGAGGATTAATAAGTTGACACGGAATAGAAACTCGCATATGGTGATGTACGTCCTCATACAGTTAGCTTCCTTTCCGATAAATGTAATTTATTGGGAGCTCGTGCAATCATGCGCGTGTAACAAGTAAACACAGAGTTTATCTCGGTAAATAACTAGACAGCGGAAGATTCATTAGGCGACGATCCGTGTCGGGCTGCGCTGTAATCGAAGCAATTGTTCTCTTGAAATTCAATTATTAGGCGATGGAGTTGCAAGAGAAATTGCCTGCAGTCAGAAATAATTGCTCGCGATTTATCTTTCACTTGACTGTAATTAAATACTTTATAATTGAACGATCAATAAATTGTTAACAACCCTAAAGTCCCGTGCGATATTGCGGTCGTGTTTCGTGCTTGTAATTTTGATCGAAATGGGCCACGAGGGTTGTCTCTCACGCTCTAATAATCGATGACGTATTACACAATAAAATGTTATGGTGCTGCCGATTTTATCGATTATTTATTGTTATACGTTTTTTTTCTTTGTTTCAGCCTAAATCAGCTATTATTAATGAGTACTTTGATCGCTCCAAGCCAAAAGAAACGTCAACAAATTATGTGACAGATTTCATCACCTTATTTATTTTGATTCGTATTTGGAATACGTATAACGTAGGCGATAGAGGAGCGAAAACCATTACGTAAAAATTTCAGAAAAAGCTACCAGCCTGCATAGATTGTTCTAATATATTCCGTGACACGAATTGATTTAGCTACTAGATCAAGAGAGTGCATTCGTGATCTTCTACTCCATTATAATAACATTGTACTAAATATGCCTTATAAGCTCAATGCACTTATGGTGTAACGTACGAGACCTAAACGGAAATTGCACCTAACGGTTAAATGTAACATTGCGTTAGCGATTCTGTTGTCATTAAATATTCCACGAAATAAATCAATGTTATCAGGGTTCGAAGGAAACATCGCGGGGCCACGGAAAATAATATAGAGGTATCGATGGTCGATTACGACAACGACGTGTTTGCATATTTAGCTTATCTCGACTAGAAGAGATAAAGAACAACATGCGGATAGAAATGTATCACTGTTAATAGATTTAGTATCTTTGAAATATAAAAGTCTTAAAGGTTGCGCGCTCAATCATTTTAGTACCGGTTTAAATTAAAACAATTTGTATTAGTTAAATATACATCCAATATTTTTATTAATTCAGACGCTAGTTCAAATAGATAGACATCATAGACAGGTCGGAAATTTTCCTGATATAGAAGTTATGTGACAGTGTTGGCTTAGTGGCTTCAGCTTCCGACTCTCATCCCTGAGGTCGTAGGTTAGACTTTGGACTTTGGACTTTTTTCTCTATATGTGCGCATTTAACATTCGCTCGAAAGGTGAAGGAAAACATCGTGAGGAAACCGACACGTCTTAGATCTAAAAAAGTCGACGGCGTGTCTCAGGTACTGGAGGCTGATCATCTACTTGCCTATTTGAAAATGATCATGAAACAGATTCAGAAATCTGAGGCCCAGAGACCTAGAGAGGTTGTAGCGCCACTGATTTTATAGTAGTTTGTTTGTTTTGTTTTGAATTATATGTAAATATTTATTGGTAGTAAATATTTTTCAACTTTAAACATTCAGATTTATAATTCGAGCTGTATCTTCTTTGTGTTCCTAGAATACGCGAACACGAGTATTATTAACCTCTTTAATAGCAATGGAATACAAATGAGATTTTATGTAATTAAAACTTAATTACTAGTATTAGTAAGCGTAATATTACCTATTAAAGCAATTATATGTCTAGACTACAATTTGTATTTTGTAGACTAACAAAAATATTTAGTTTTTACTATCATTCGGAATTTTTCGTTCTTGTTAATGAGAATTTTTGTAACAAAATAAAAAAGTGTACACCTTTCCTATATGTATATAGTATAGTATGTAGACATTATAACTGTACAATGTCCCTTATTAATAAACGCACAATAGATTTAAAAAAACTATTGTATATTTTGTGCGTTCATGACGCTTAGCAAAAAGGAAACGTAATACAACAGTTTTCCCAACTAAGGCTATAATTTTATAAATAATCGTAATACTCATTAACATAGTTTATATATTACAGATTTTGTAGTAGTTAATTCGATTTAAACCTTATCTTACACAATACGTCTCTAATCAATACAAGCTACTTGGCGTGAGGCGATAAATCGTTGCGTACAAGTAAACCGTGAGATGTCTAAAGTTTCGGGTGCCATTTTATCAACGATAATAATTACGATGTGCGAATATTGCGGTTCTTTAGATTATACTTTGACAAATCACGACTTTGCAATTCCAATGCAGCAGATTTAATGTATGGGAGGCAGTTTGCATTCTAACCGCGACCCGACGGGCAACCTCTTTCCTAATGCATGCTTATTTGAGCTTTTTAACCTTTCATCTATTGTAGGGTTTAAGCATTAGACAATAAACATTAAGCTGATGGTTATAGGAGGTTCTTTGCTAATTGTGTAGACGGTATCCACTCGCTATGATCGTGTGATACGGCTTAGTGGGTCATAAATATGTTATTCATAATACGCCTCCACAATGTTTCGTACAGTATATCTGTAACTCAGCATTTCGTCAATATTAGACTTTATTTCCGTGAAATTGGCGATTTAATGTAAATTTTAATTAAATAGGGATAATTTTAATCTTACCATAAATAGATAATAAATTTTTCTCTATTTTGTAGGTGTTATAACTGAGTCTTCAGTCACGTTATAATTATTGTTTTGCGAAGTTCATTATTTTTTACTATTAATTAAAAATTGTTACTGTCCAGCATTTGTTTTTTATTTTTAATGATAATATACGACGCAAGGCTTCATTGAAATTCTAGCCCTAAAGAGAATAAAGGGTAAACAGTTGAACCTGTCCTTTTCAAAGTGCATTCATGCACTTACATGCAAGCGAGGCCGTAGCTTAAATCTTGAAAAGTGAATTAATTACGTATTCCATATAGAGTAGGAAGTGCACACTTACAATGTATTCATATTCTTAGCAAAAGATAAAATCATTTTCGCATTTAGTAAGTCGTAAAGATAATCACAATAGATATTTTCCACGGTAAACTGCATTGACCTGCCAAAATGCAAGTAATTTCGATGTACTAAACTACCGTAATTTATTGCTAGATCGATCCATAAATGTTCAACGAATTATTGTAGTAAATTGCAACAATTATATTAATGACAATGGCGAAATAAATTCAGTACAACGTGAGTTAACCGCTCATTTGCTAGGTGCAAGTAGTGAAGAGTCTAAAAACCCGCACTGCGGAATATTCTGGCTGATGAAGAGCAAATAGTTGTCTGTATATTTATATTTCGTTTAAAGACATAATTTTAAAACTACTACTGCCGCGACAGCTGTTGCTATGGATTCTATTTGCGCTAAAAAATTGAGGCGGTTTAGCCATAGTGCAACCTACACGGTCTAGTGGTAGTCGTGTTGCAATGATGATTTTGTTGTTGGGGTCGGTTAACTGGGAGGGTATTGGGGTTGCGTAATTTACGAAGGTCGTTAGGGGTAGGCGGGGCGGGGCAGTGAAAGGGCTGGGCGGAGCGTCGTGCGCGGCGCCGCCCATCACATTTCACCACCACAATTCACAGTTCCTCGTGCGTCCTACTTCCTTCAACAGGTTCGCTCTTGGTGTTCCATTGTGTGCCAATATCTTTGAACAATGCTCTTGTGAA